GCCGTGGTTCAGATGCACGAATACTTTCTGAAGCAACGTTCTCCAGGACGACTCCGTCATTGATTGCGTCTCGAAGTTTCGAACACTTTAGTTGTCAGCGCTGAGCGACGTCCGCCTCGGCCCGGTATAGAAACAAGAAGATAAAACACAATATGACTGTTTCTCAAAGTTCCTAGAACAGGCTGCAGCCACAACCCGACAGAGCTGCGAGCCGCGAGCCAAACAACGAATTTCCATCTAAGCCCACAATCCTTCGTGAGAATCTTGAGGTCGGGGAACGCGGCGGGGTGTGCTGGGGTGTTGTGGTAGGGAGGGGAGCGGGAACCTCTGGGGGAGAGGAGCGCTTTAGAATGAAGAAGCCTTTGAGGAGTTCAGATAAGTTCAGCTGCAGTACCCAGACAACACTGCCATTTCACAGAGGTCGCACTATTTCGTATGATTGCATCAAGCTAGGAATGCTTCCCAGGTGACAACTTTGCCACTCCCTCTCTAGAACCTCGCAGCGGAGCATTCATGTCACATGCCAGTGCCTTTGCACGCCGGCACGCGCAGCATGTGCCGGACACCGGAAGCAAGCGAACTGTAGGTCAAACCACACCAAAATCATGTTAGAGAGAGGACTCTTTTCACTTTCTGTCCTGATCCAGCAATTGCTTGTGCGGAAATCTCGGAAGAGGACACATGTACGCACTTGCATTGTGTCCTCCCACAACACAGCATACAGAAGCTCTTCCCTTCTGAAGCATGTTCCTTATCCGGTCAGTCGATGCGCAGAGCTAGACAGCATTTTGCTTGGGTAGACAGGTTTCAACCCTCGCCTCAGGACTTCAGAGTGCAGGTCGCGGAGCCAAAGGCTCCCATGATGCCACGGGTGTCTAAATATGTCCTAGCCCTAGGAGAGCTCTTGGCAGAGTCTTAAGCGAGCGCTTGGCAGGTGAGACGGCCTTGGAGCGATATCTGCGTGCTTGACGGCATGATGAAGCAAAGATGCGAGGATGTTCGAGAAATTCGAGGCCCTGACGAGGTCAAGGCGTGACTTGGAGACGTCGCGAGCCAAACAAAAAGACACGGGCAGCCGAAGCTCCGAAGAGAGCGCTTGCACCTCATTGTGTTGCCGTTCAGTTCTGTGACAGGCGCTTGCAAAATGTTTGCAAAAAATTGCAAATCTGCAGGCTCGCGAAAAGTCTTGACGGCTCCAATGCCTTTCTGGCCTCGCGATCTGAACCTGAAGGCTTGGCCCCGAACACATCTGCAGCGAAACGTCGACAAGATGTCAACTTTCAAGTGATTTGCCGCGTGGTGCGGACCTTCTGAACTTTACCACTGTAGCGAGAGCAGGTGTGAAACTGGCTGCGCCGACTTGCCGACTGAGTGTGCACGCCGGAACCTATGTTCAGCGATACTTCGGCTGACGTGGGCCCATGGGGCGTTGGGCCATTGGGGCTTGGTGGGGGTGGAGGGAGACGGATCAACGAAGTTGAAGAGAAGCCGTAAGCCCATGCCCCATCGGCAAGGAAGATCATACAGTGCCGAACGGGAAGGGGTTGAAAGAAGGGGATAGCTTTCATGGATAGTTTCAGAGTCAACCTCAGTCGAAGACTCTTTGAAGACTTGAGGTGTAGACCCAAACCTGCGTAGCGCCCTCGGAGTCTTCAGCTTGTTCCTGATTGACAATTGCCGCATGACGACCGAATTCTGTTGTATGGCTGTATTTGTGTGCCTTGAGGCGCTGTGGAAGAAGGGCATCTCCATGCCGTGACGCTTGTGAATGACGAAGTAGCGAGTGGAACAACGTGCTGGTGCAAGCTTGGCTCACCGTGCTGCTTGCATTGGAGAGTCATTTGGTTGGAGCATGTTGGAACGAATACGAAGAGTCGTATTTCACCGTTCTACACAATCTAAACACGGCTTTCTAGCTTCTTTGCTTCATTTCTTTCACAGCTTTGTGTGTGTGTGTGCCGCATTGCCGCCTCAAAGTCAGCGCTGTGTGGCCCCTCGCACTGGCTGGCACAAAATGGGATCGACGCTCGACTGCAGGGACAGGCTTCTCTGCTCTCTCGCCCCCTGTCTTACACCGGAACGAAGGATCTGCTATGAACGAAGAAGTGCGGTTTGTTGTTTGTGTCAAAGATGGCTGTGCAAACATTGGTTCTCATCATTTCTGATCCATCAAACAAATGTAGAACTCAACACGATATTGACTCCTTTGTTTCATTTCTTTCGCGCACTTGTCGGCTGTTGATTAGCGTCCATTTTGTATTCCTGCACTGTGTTTACAGCCAGTAGGTCACAACTAATCAGTAGCCCAGGGAGTGGAGAAGGAACCCCAGCCATGTACTCGCCGAAGGCAGTAATCAGAAGCTGGCAGTCGCTCCTTTTAGAAATCTACAAACCACGACCATAAGAGATGGGGGCTTACAACATGCGGTGTTGGTTGTGTGGTGTTGCTGCGTGCCACGCTATAGCTGTGCTTTGATCGTTGTTTGCTCTTGTGGTCCGCCCATGCAAAAGGACTTGATCTCCAGGATCGCATCTGGCGAAAGTTAGTAGAAGGACATCGAAAGCAGACCGGCACAGTCCTAGCCTGATTCTAATCTGCAGTTTGCCTCTTCGAAGATGACGGAAGGAACGAAGTGAAGGCATAGTTTCTGCCGTTTTAAGGATGGCGTGGAAGCTTCTGGTTGCAGCAGTGCTGTGTCTGCGGCTCAGGGACGAGCTACGAGCAGCTACCAAGTTTCAGTCAGCCACGCCTGTTGACTCTTCTTCAGGCCATACTACGCGGGCAGACGAACTCGCCAGGGTGCCCCTGAAGAATTTTGAGCTGTGGCCTTGTAGACAGTTTGTTACCCACATCACTGTAAGCACTGTTTTGCACCATGTCGGAAAGCTCCGAACCCTGGACCTCCTGTACTTCCTCCATTGACTCTTTTCAGCCACTGAGCTTCTGCCGCCTTTCTGGTCCTCATACACCGTACGCCATTGTACGCAAACATCTGTTATTTGAACCGAATCGCTTGGTCTCACTACTGCCGCTGCTGCTACTATTGCTGCCGCTGCTACAGCCAAGGGCGAAAATGGGTTCCTGTACAGGATCTAGCACGTAAGTTGCGCAGGAGTGTCGTCAAAGTCGACATAGCCAGATCTAGGCCAGGGTTCATCTCGGAATCTAACCCTTGAGACGGCTTCATCACATATCCAACCCTTCCCTAACCAGCCCTTTCCAACTATTGTAGGTTTCACGCAGCCTTACTGCCCGTAACAGCTTGCCATCGAGAAGCTTGTAGTAAGCTTTGCACATTCATTTAGTTGGGGCTTACAATTCGGGGTTCTAACTTGCAAAGGCAAGGTCATTCCGGGATGAAGGAATTTACGTCATCGAGCAGTTGCAGGAGCTGCGCTGTCCTGCAACAGCCTTTATCGGCATCGCTGGTGCCATTGAATGTGCTGTCACCTTGCACTCTATTGACAGTTTGTCCACCCAGTCAGGATGCAGCGGCCTGTCCTCTGAACGGAGAGTCATGCATGTCGGAGCGGAAATGAGAAATGCATGGAACATGATTGAACATGACCTCCGAAAACGAGCCTCATGAGCGTACCGTACTCGACATGCACATCGACCACGCTAGGCTGAACAATTGACTGAATCCACACGTGCTTGGGTCTGTGACTCCACACATGTGCGGTCGCCAGGTACGTGCGAACCTGACCTTTGCATCCTCCAACTTTTGGCGAGTCAGTGTCGGGAGCTCAGAAAACCGGACGACGATTCCAACACGAGATGCACAGCACATGCTTCGGCGTTCTCTGCCTTCACATCATTCCAGTTTGCGGCCCCCAAAGTCTCACAAAGCGATGCTGATATAGATTGTGCTCACTGGTTCACGGTCACAGCGACTGAGGACATTGTCGTTGGTGGACATCAGTGGCGTCTCGGATGGAAACGGGAGGTTGCGATGCGGCCATCAGAGCGTGTCTTTCGCCTTTCGAAGGTGCCGCGCGCATGTTCCAGACAGCTCCTGGTCTTTGAGCTCCCTGCCAAAACAATTTGCGCAGAGATGTTTGGAGTCTCGATCCACAGCCTGTGAGCCCCCAAGGGGTAGTTCTAGGAGAGTAGGGTTCGCTTCATGGTGCCATTGTCCCTGCGGTGCCAGGCATTGGGAGTGTAGTGTGCCTGCGGCCATGCCGAATAGTGGCATGACCTTGGCAGCAGGCATCGAGACACCGGCACATACCAGAATGCAGGAGCTTGGCGTGAGGTCGCAGAGGCCAATGCTTGATGTCACCGACAACGGTTCGAGCGAGCCACAGCCGCTCACGACGCAACTCATCAACGAGGCGCCGCCTAGCGGCCGCACTTCATAGTGTCCCTGGGGCCAGTGAAGCATGGATGGTTGTCAACAGCTCCGCCAGCTGAACTTTCAACAGAGCCGAAGCCGTCGATCCCTAGCTTCGCGCCCCTAATTAAGACCGACTGGGATGCTCCGGGCGCAGATGGAGGACAACTTTGCTCTGGAAGTCGATTTGGAGGCATGGCGAAATTAAACAAACGCCCGGCAGCTACGGCCTTACGACGAGGCCGATCGTAAGACTGGCACGTTCCATTTGCGTCTTTGAGATTTTGTCAGAACTGGCTAGAAATACATATGTTTTGCAAAGTTGGTTTGTTGTGCAGATTTTTTGCGACTCCTATATGATGTGGCTGAAACTTTCATTTGCGCCTGCGCTTTGTCGTGCCCCCACTGCGGCATGAGTGCAGGTGCCGGGGTTGAGCACGACTTTGCCTGGAAGCATCAACGAACACCCTCCCAAAACACGACTAGACCAGGTCAAGATGTGTAGATGGCAGATCAGATCACCAAAAGACAAGAGGAGCTCACCTATACCATGTTGTTCAAGGAACCCATGAATCCCGCTTCGATGCATGAAAGTTGCACTTTAAGCTCAGTTTCAGCATGTGAGATCCCAACCCGCTTGAGGCTGCAAGGGTGGCTTGCGAGCGAAGGTCGGCTCATGTTTTGCCACAAGACAAGTCCACAGTCACTTTCTCGATAAGAGTATTTACAGTGTTGCCATATGTGATGGCCTTGCAACCAGGTCCTGACGTACAACCTTTTCTGGTTGCCAACTCAGTGACAAACAAGCGGAGCACCGTTGCACCTGTGCTTGCGCATTTGAAGGTGGAATCTGTTCGGCCTGAGAGGAGGCCGGCTTCGCAGCATCCTTGCACAAGTTCAAGTTTTGTGGTCTTGGTGTTGCTGCTCCGGTTAAGCGCTCCACCACGGCCATTAAATCGTCCAGCGAAAGGATTACTTAGGGTCGTGTGTCTTATGGCGGCCTATGCTGGGGTCTTCCCGTGCCCAACAGAGCATGCTGCTGTCAGAAGTCACCGCATATACATGTGTTGGAAGCTTCCAACCCTCCGCTGCGGTGATTTTGCAAATGTAGTCTTACGGCATCACGGCCCTGCTCGCGCTTGAACTGCAAGCACATGCGTTCTCGGGAGCCAGCGACGTTTGCAGGCGAAGGTAGGCGCAGTGGAAGGCTCATTGTGCTGACCTCAAAAGACACAAGACATGAAGGACCATGAGCAGCCAAGAACACGCCATGGACATGGCTTCTTGAGGCATCCACGGCGTGGCCTGATCCCTACGACTTCATGGGCTTCCAAGAATGTGATGACATTGAGCGCGTCGTCCATGACGCTGGACAAGCTTGCATCATTCTGCACCGGTGTACTCTTTGATGCTGGTTCCACATGAAGATTATCAAGCGAGAAACGGGTGCTTGTGAGAATTGCGATAAATTTCGATGGAACGACTGCTGGATCTTCTCTGAAGGCAAGTTTACAGGTGAATCTTCATGTGGAGGTAGGCATCGAGTGGCGAAGGCTTGCTCACATGGCAGGACTGCAGAACGAGTACACGAGAATTCAAGGACCCCATGCGCTCTGACCTCAGAGCAGCCGCTGCTGTTGGCATTGCCGAAGCAAACATGCTGATGACGTTGTTCTCCGGAAGCCAAAAATTTGAAGGTTGCCTTCTTACAAGTTGTAGTTGTGGCTGTTGATGTGGTAGTGGTGCACTGGTGGTGGTGACGGTGCAGGGCTTCGGCCTGCTGGTTGTTGGCATCCATGCCGATAGGATGTCAATGCCTGATGCCTCACAAATGCTTCTTTGTCGGCACATGATGGAAAGAGCATTGATGCCCATCATCATGTTTGAGGAAGCAGTTCCGGACGATGCCGTCGAACAAATACAAAGCTTGACAAGCCCCCGTCGCCCTTCCCCCTCCCCTGCTTCTTTTGCAGCTTCAGACTGTTCAGTGCATCCTTACGTAGCAGTTCACGCGTCCGCTTCATGCGATTTTGGACGGTTGAAGGGAACCAAAACAGCACTCAAACTTTTGGCCCCAGCTTGTTGGCCGTCTTTATGGAGGGATCATGGGATGTGCGACGCTTCGCAGCTTTCACATGTCCAAGGTTGGGCGTGGCCTACCGCAAAGCCACATGGCAGGAGCTTGGCTCCACACTCAGCATGGTGAAAAGGGTGCGAGTATTGATTCTCATGCAGGCCACAGTGTCCTTTGTGTGCTAGATGCTCCTCACGTCTGCGGTTTTCTGATGGCGAGGGTCCTCATCGGCACCAAGCCAATCGTCAATCTTGAGCGCGGGTTCAGCATTATTCGATTTTCGGGAGTAGACTTCGACCCATCACCCAGGTTCTCAAGCATCCTACCCCGACCCAGATTTCTACGCTGAAATTCGCCTATACGCTGTGATGTGTAGATTGTACCTTCGTTTGCACCGCGTTCATGTCTTACGAGCATCAGAGGCCGACCGCGGCCCTCGTGGGCATGCAAGATCAGCGAGTATGTTGTCCAGACATGATAACAAGCGGGTAGGGTCACTACAACAACGAGGATCGGAATGAAAAATGTGATGTCGCTTTTCGAGACAAGAGATTGACTTAGATAATTGGAGATTATGGTTTAGGAGTTGAGATGAACCAACAGTGATTTTGGATATGAGGCGATGAAATGCTCGTTACGCTAGCTTGGCAGGTTAAGAGATCTATTTCGATTCAAAGGTTCAGGAAACGAGATGTTTCGTGTTGGTGCTCGGACACGAGGTCTCTCTTGGTGCGGCCAAGGTAAGAATAAGCTATTCCCCGGAATAAATTGCACCATAATGTCGTTCCGGCGAAGAGGCTTGCGGGACCTTGTGTAAGAAGGAGTCTGCGAGCGAAAAGGGGCTCCCAGAGCCTGACATGTTAAGTTACAGATCGTATGGCGATCTTTGTTACTGCGGTGGTAAAGAAGGCTAGCAGCAATGAGAGATATTCAATAGTCGGAGATATGATATCCGTCCGTGAAATGAGCGAGCGGTAAGGTTCGTATGGCAGGAGGTATGATCTCGCGTGTGTGATGCCTGAACAATTAGAAGCATGCTTCGTGTGATGACACCACCTGATTCAGGCAACAAGTATCGGATTTGCTGGAGAGGCTTGCTCTTAAATTAGGCAGCACTGTTGCAGCATAAGCCCATTAAACATTGAGGGCTATGAGAATTAGCAAGCACATGATGGAGCGCGCTATGCTTGGTCGCTATACGAGTCTAGAAACAGTGTGGCAGGGTGACTCAAACGTTGCCTTCCTGAAGCCCAGTCACGGAGACCAGATTCGAAGTCAATCAACCGAGCTGCACCTCAACACTGTTCACAACGTTCTTTCTGCACCGCGACATGCTCATGGCTTCTGGATCGTCCATGATGGAAACAAGGGCATCTTTGAATGTGGCTGGCCTGAAGCGCCACATGGCGGAAAGGGATCGGAAAGGACAACCAACCTTTAATCGGGTGTGACACCCGTCTTGCAGACAGTTCTTTCCGAAATTATGAAGCACTGCTACTGAAAACGGCTCCTTGAATTACCAACGACCTGTATAGCCCGGTTGGTTTCAAGGAGACAGATCTGAATGTAGGAGTTTAGGCTGGGGTGGGCGTGAGAGTGCCAAAGAACTTGCGAGTTTAGCACTTTCTCCCATCTTGTCCCTCATTGCCAAACCTTGGATCTTTGGATCTGCCAAAGGCCGGGGGCAGTCTGACATTGCGGAAGACAGGCGGGATCAATGGTGCGCCGGGACGCTGGTGGCTTCTCGAGCCGTTTCTCACTATCTGTGTATCCAGGACGCACGCACCCACACGCCTGTGCACACCTGCGCTGCGGCAGAAGTCTGCACAGAGTTGAACCAGCAGGTACGGCCAACGAGCTGTGCAGTCAGGGACCCACAGAACACCTCGGCATCTGATCTTGCGGATCCATGTCTTGCCAGCGGAGAAGATGCGATGCACCTTCAAGGTGGGTTCGAGTGAAGCATAGACAAAACAGCTTCGGACTCAGAACCCAGTATCGGCACTCCAGTTCAGAGCCGTCTGGTTGGCACTCAAAATGTAGAATCTTGAGCTCCGTAGCAGTCGCAGATGCTCCGCTCCTGTGCCATGAGACTTGAAGTTCATGTGAGCACATGACGCACAAACCCGAAGCGTATGCTGTCCTTTTTTGGAGCTTCTCGCGCTGTGAGGCCGGACAGTGCTTTTTCTGAACTTCCACGGCCCGCTTCCGCTGAGCAGCGGCGGCAAATGCGGATGTGAGGCCCACTGGCGGCTGAGTCGCCTCATCGTCTCTTCTTGATGCACTTTCCAGGCCACTGCATACAACATCATGAGGGTAATTGGCGAAAACGCAGAGTCCAATGATGACGCGGCTTGCTCAGTTCTAGAATCTCAGCAGCTGCTTGCTTGATGCCCTTGGATCGATTCTAAGGTGATCCTTGTTGGCGACTTCAACTCCGTCACAGGATCTCCAACCATCCAGAAACTCTCCGAGCGCCAAAGCCTTGGGCGGAGCTTGACCTGAGTTGACTTCTCCCGTTGTCGATTCGTTTGCGTTGGTCAAAGGGGATCCCCTTTCGTGATGTTCATGAGTCCGACCTTGGCTCAAAATACCCCCTTCTGATCGATTTTGTCGAGGCGGATTTGAAGGAGGGGTTGTACCCAACGTGCAGGGTGGGATCGACGTTGATATCAGGTGCCACAGTGTCGGATTCGAGTCCTCCGTCGATTCGACTGCTCGCTTTTAGCTCAGGCATGCACCGCGTGTTCAGTGGCAATTCGCATGGTGGCGTGGACCACATTTTCAGCAGTCCCGGACACAGACACCACCCAGGCCTTGTTTCGTGAAGCTGTTTGTTCGTGCTTGTGCTGTCTCTGTGTGAGTGAGTGGGTGAGCGAGCGAGCGAGTGAGCGTGAGTGTGAGTGAGTGAGTGTGAGTGTGAGTGTGAGTGAGTATGTGAGTGAGTGTGTGAGTGAATGTGTGAATGAGTAAGTGAGTGAGTGTGTGAGTGAATGTGTGAAGTAAGTGAGTGAGTGTGTGAGTGAGTGGGTGGGTGAGTGAGTGAGTCAGTGAGTGAGTCAGTGACTGAGTCAGTGAGTGAGTCAGTGACTGAGTCAGTGACTGAGTCAGTGAGTGTGTGTGTGTGTGAGAGAGAGAGAGAGAGAGAGTGAGGGAGTGAGTGAGTGAGTGAGCGAGGGAGTGAATGAGTGAGTGCGCGCATGAGTGAGTGTGTGAATGAGTGAGTGAGTGTGCGAGTGTGCGAGTGAGTGTGTGAGCCGAGGTTGCCCCAGTGTGAAGGGCACCTGGAACTTGGGCACTGGTGGCAGTGACCATGATGCTCTCAGTGCCCTGATTGAGGTCGCTACGGGGTTTGTGGTAGAAGGGGTAACATGCCTGTTGTGTGAGCCCGCAAGCTGCAGGCCTGATGCACACGATCGAGTTGTGCAGGCCGGAAAATCCAGTGGAAGCCCCAAAGGACCTTTTCTATCCTCCAATAATTCCGTGGAATAGTAATCGCAACAGTGCAGTTGAATTGTGTTGTGCATTGGGCTATAGTATATCACACCTTCGGATCGCAGTCAGCCTTGAAAATGCTTCGGTGCTTGCATGTCCGTGAGTGTGCGAAGGCAAGAAGCCGAACAATCTCCATTCGTGCTGACATACCTCAATTGGGCATTAAGCGCGATCCCAGACACGAAGGCAGCTACTCTTCTGCATCAGCACCGCAGTAGCTTCCAGCAACATTGAACGCTATGATACCGTGGTTGTTGCTTGAAGGGCATCTTCTGATCGAACCATTCACTTGCATCCGCAGCATCCCGATGATCTGCATGTGAAAATCGTGCTGCTGAGAAGAAGAATGGTATTCTGGTAGCGATGCAGGTGGCAGGACATGCAAAAGAACAGGTGAAATGGGCAAGTTGACTGCAGTAGAACGTCTCTGTCCAGGCTTCGTCTACTGATATGTCACATCGCGTCCCTTCCTGAGCCCACCTACAACTGTAGTATGCAACAAGGTGGCATAAAAACGTTGGCCCGACAAAAGGTGCACCATCCCTCGTGGCCTTTAATTTTCAATTTGCTGCAAAGCCGTGGCTGAAGGAATGGATGTGTAACACTCTGGGGCGACAACCGCTTGACATCGTTTGACCTTGCCTGCGCTCAACCTGCAAGACTCTGACATCGAACTGGCCCCGGGGGTTGAACATTGAAGCAACTTAAGTGGCGGCCCCTCACATGTGGCAAGTTGATGCATTTGGGTATGTTTGCGTCGTAACGTGCACATGCCTTCCATTCCTGTAATATTTCCGTGATGCTCCGTCCGTCCGTCAATTTGTGTAGATGGTTTGCGGTCCACTATTTGCACCTCCATCACCCCACCCGGACCTACACCCAACCCACTCCACCCCACCCTACTGCACACCACGCCACACCGCACCACACCCCGAAACAAAACATCGCAGAGGCTCCTGTACAATTGTTTGCGGAAAGCCGCTTACGCCGAAACCCTGTCAGCCTTCATGAAGTCAACAGCTCGTCCAAGCACTTTCTGTACCTAGGCAGCCGGGCCCATTTGTGGTGCTGCGCCAAGAGCTTTGCTACCCCCAAGATGAGGGCTCGGCAAACGCGACGGCTAGCCCACCCGTGGCTAGCGCAATCAGGGCCAGCGGGCTCCGCCTGTTTGTTTCACAGAGAGGGAGGTTGATAGATTGCATTTCCGGTGGAGCACCGAATTTTGACGCTGGACCCTTGCAATGACAGAATTTGGAAAGGCGTTGTACACCAGTGACTGGTCAAACGCGGAGATTTTCCGTGATGCAGGCAGCTACGGAGATCTGACCTTGAGAAGCTACGGCTGTGTAGTTTTAGCGACTATGCTACAAGGGTTGCCGTAGGCGACAGCTTGACGGCTTGTTTCCGAAGTGTTTGCAACGATCAGATGCGATCCAAGCTGGCTGCTGGCCATTGAAGCTACAGCTCGCACGGCAAGCTCAGCTAGTCCATTCCTGCTACTTTGCACCATGCTGGTTTAACCACGTCTCAGTTCAATAATGTTCAGTGTTAAACATGCAAGTGAATCTTCAAAACATGTGCCGTTTGTTCAGTCCGTCATGTCACGGCGGCCTAGAAGAATGGATTATAGATTGAGACTGCCCAAGCTGATTTGCCTGTCGCCCTCTTGCTGAATGCATAGAGGAGACCAGGAAATCCTGCCCTCCGCGAAGAGCGGCAAGCTGAAAAACTAGATTTCGGTGCTTTGGCGAGTGCATCAAACGCCATCATGCCTGTTGGATTGTCATTTTCGGTCACTTGTGCTTGCTTGTCCCAAAGGGCTGCCAAGCCATGCACCAGGCCCTGCTGGACAGAGATTGTGGTGCAGAAACCTGCGAAGTAAATCGCCAGACGCATCTGGCAGACGAGGTTCTATCCGGCAGAGAGCTGATCAGAATTGGTTCTCTTGAGTTACAAGCTGCACCGACTTTTGATCTCTGTCCAGCCAATACCACAATGCCGTCAGGAGAGCGTAAGCGATCCGCTGCACTGTGAAAGTCCCAGGAAATGGTGAGAAAGACGATGATTTGCCCATGCGGACACATAGCATATCCAACCAGAAGTTGTAGGGTTGCTGGGGCGCCCAATGTTTATGTAGAATACCAGCACGGCCGTGGTGGCAACAGCACGTGGATCCAAAGATATCGAGCTTTCCGACAACGTTGAACATGCGATGTTGTTCAGCATCTTTGTTGTTGGCATCTGGCAGAGTGGATTCCACGTGCGCCAGACTCATCGGATCTAGACGCTAAAAGTTGATTTGCAGGGCAGCGCCATGGGAGTAGTGGCATGGCAGGGATTTGGCACGTGCGCGAGGAGTGTCAACATGTTCATGGGCGCACACTGATGCGGCAACGCAAGCTGTCACAAAGACCGGAGCCGCAGAGCCCCTTTGACACTCCGCGGGCTGAATTAGCTCTGCTAAATTTGTTTGTGTCTGATTTCTGCACTCCCTGCACTTCGCACTGGCCCGTTCGTGCAGAGCTTCCAAGCTTCCTGCTGCCGGAACGCATTTGCCTCGTGTGAGCTGGACTGCGCATCACAGCTCCAGCAGGATACAGGCTCTGCGTGGCAGTACGAGGTACTGGTGGCTCAGTCGCTCATTCCACGATTAAAAGAGATGCTCCGACCTGCAAGCTTGATACAGTTTTGGCTCTTCGGCAGCGCACGGGCTATACAATGCAAATTGGAAGAGTGCCTGGTTCGTCGCCCTTTAGATGCTCTCAGCCGATGAAGCGCACCGGTGCTTCGCACGGGACCGGGCACCTGGGGCTGCCCAGCCCCACCTAGCTCAGTCAGGCCACTACTTTTACAAAGTATGCCTTGCGTTCATAGTCCTAGACATTCCTAGACCATGATTTCTCTTTCTCAGCCGTCATCATGCGACTCGGAGGTGCCTCTGCCGTCTGCATCCTTGTACGTGGTTGTCTTCGCCAGTGGCATGAACGAGATTTTAGGCCGCAGGGCACTGTGTCCAAGGATGCCCAGTGGAGAACTGCAAGCACACTGAGAGCATAGAAGCGTTATCTGCAGGTTGGGGATTGGTGGTCTTCGTGCTGTGGGTGGTCTGCTGGACTGGGCACTTTAGGCTCAAAGGTGAGGCTGCACGGCACTGTGCAAGCGGTGGCTGTTCGTTCGACCAATGTAGAGGATTGAATTTCGAAAACGTTTTCATGCCCCTCCGTGACAGGACCTGTGTCCTGTTCTTTGCTTGGGCTTTGGCAGATCGGCGATTTAAGCCCAAAGTCAGTTGAGCTCGAACTTACACAGCGTCACCGAGCCTGCGGATCCACGCTGAGTCGCGGGCCAGGCGGCTCTGATGCAACCGTGATGAGCAGCGCGGCACGAAAGACCCAGCAGTCAGCGTGTGCTGGACTCCTGGGCCATCCTGGACCCGGCTCCGAGCGCCGTCGTGTCGCAACGAATGGATGCTGCCGGACACCATGCACCTAAAGTCGGAGGGCCGAAGGGTGCCCCACAGCACAGAGAGACAGTCTGGCTTGCACTTGCGCTGAACTTCTGATCGACAAGATCTAAAAAGATTCATTCTGGAAAGCTTCACTGCCAAGTTCTCTGCCCTGACAGTGCTGTAGCCGTGTGGCGCCTATTGCTGCGAGCGTCCGGTTAGAGGTCTGAAATTTGCAAACGAAGAGCCACTAGGATGTCGTGCAGAAGGAAGAAAGTTGGGCATGGTGCAGGCACTGCAGAGCTTGCTCATCTGCATTCAGACCAATTTCCCAAAACCGAAGCAGGACATGCAAAGGTCGCCGCTACTCGCTGCTGCTGGCTTGGGTGAGTTAGTCCAGACATCTGCAATCGGCGAAGTCGATTGCAGGCGATGCGCGGCCTCAACACGAGGCTGCACTGAGACCTGATGGTAGATGTCGGGCGTCCCGATTCGCCCAACTCGTTCCAGCGAGCATCCATCTCAGAAACCTCCACTTAGTGTCTTCATTTCATGTCACTCGAATTGCAAAGCTTCCAGGCTCAGCTCGGCAGCCCGGACTCCGTGAAGGTCGAGTTCGATCGGGCTGCCTCTCCGCGCTTGCACAGACGCCGGCCTTTCTCAAGAGGCCAGAGGCACTCTGAGAGGCCAGGGTCTGGCTGGTGTCCCATGTTGCAGAGGCGGGCGGCGGCCAGCTCGCGCTCCGGAGCCATGGGAGGAGATGCTGGACTTGGTGCCGGCCCCGCCTCCCCCTCCAGTCACAGGTGACTTGGCGTTGGCTCTGGTGATCCCATTGCAAAATACTAAAACGACTGAGGCAAGACAGGTTAAGCATCATCCATGGAGGGTTAGGGATTTTCGCCGCTACCATCCGAAGCCTGCCACATTCAATCAAGATTGCGGGCCCAGACCGCTGCTGTGTGTCAGCAATGGTTGGGCTGAATATGCGCCCCTGACACCAACGTCCTAGCTTTCTTGTGTCGGTGACCCATTATGTACATGTTCAGAGCCGTGGTCCTTTGTTGCATTTCATTCGCACTCCAACCATCGGGTGCGATCTTGCTTAACTAATTGTTTGATGTCGAAAGCAACGTTGTTTAGCTGTGTTGCTTGGTGGCAGGCGGCGTGCGCACCTTCGATCAGCTGCCTTCCGGTGAGATTCAGTCCAGAGGGAACAAGGAGCCAAGTCATAACAGAATGAAAATCACGGACGTCAGTTTGGAGTCCCAGTGCTGACTAGCCCCTGCTAGCACCTGCAAGATTGTTTCGACAAGCAGTCACAACAAGTCATCACGACAAGCGATCAAAGAGCCAACGAGCACTGCACAACAACGCTGACCAATGAGCCACAAGTCAGCTTTGGCAGTACCGCAATTCGAGGGATGGCGGCATCATGAGTTGAACGAAGCCCGTCGACTGCGCCTGCGGTGGTTGTCTAGTTGCTACGAAATATAAGCTCTTAGGTCGGCTCCAGCGGGAACGGAAGAGCACACGGAATGTGTTGTACTGGGATGACCTTCCGCCGACAGAACCAGAGCCCACGTCTATATCGCCACGCGCCTAGAACAGACACGAGGGAAGCCAAGCACTTGTTCCGAGGAGCCTGTGCTGCGGGCCGACTGGACTATTCGACGCTTGAAGGTTGACATGAAGACGGTGCAGGTAAAGTACAGGAGCTTGCTTGTGCCAGCGGGGCAGCATCCCTGCCGCACTGCGCCACCCTTCCTGTTTGCCTTCTTGACGTTTGTAAGGATGGTCTCTGCGTGACTTGGCTTGATGCATGTTGAAGCTGTCACTTTGCTGTTGGCAGAGGTATATATCTTCTGCACATTTCCGGCTAGGCAGCTGGCCCGCAAGACAACTAGAAGGTTTGTTGGGCATTCCGTTGAAGACAGAATCGGCTTCCGCGAAAGTTTCAGCAAGCAAGTTTGCGACTCCGAAATTGCATGCATTGTGCAATGGTTGCCGTGGTTGGCTTGTTCAAGTTGTACAGACCCGTTTCCCCTTGAAGTGAATCTGTCGAAGTATGGCTCTAAGCCAAAATGCCGGGCATGTTTGGAATCGATCTGCAATCTGGAACAATGCAGCGTCAAAGGTAACACAAAGTTGGCTACTGCGGATCCTTTTGACCCTCGTGTTCCTCCTGCTACTGCTAGAGCGTTATCTACGATTTCTGCTACTGCAGGAGTAGGACTAGGAGTAGTAGTAG